TAAATATCACTGTCAAGTGATCCATACAAATAAGCAGTCACAATATCCATGAGACGCATTTCTAATTTTTCAGAAACTGCTAAGCTGATTAAGAATCTAAACGTAATTGCATCCATAACAGGTGAATACATTTTATCATAGTCAATTCCAGGTCTTTGTGTAAAACCTTGAGCTACGAGTCTAGCCTTGTATCTGGTGATTTCATTCTTCTCATTTCTTTTTCGTATAAAAACCCATTTATAGCCAACAGGCTTTGTATCGTTGGGTGTGAGAATAATGGATCTAAAAACATTTCGCTTATTAAGCGAATCTAATTCAGCTTGCATAGCGTCTTTCCACTTTAGCCAATCATGTCTATTTTGACATTCTTGAACTGATTTTGGTTCAGGATCATCACTTCTGTTCATAATTTCACATGCAGCGGCATAAGAGAAAATCTCATCATTATATTCAGTTTCATCTCTATTCCACAGCATTTTTGTACTGTTATAATTGATTGAGATTTCTTCATTCACCTTTTCATTGTTTTCATCAGGAGAATCTTCTTTGCCTTTTGGTTCTTCAGGAACATTTTCATTGACATTATTTTCTGATCTCTTTCTTATTCAGGGATTTTTATCCTTTGAACCAATCGGTCTCCCACGTTTTAAACGTGATTTAGACTCTTGCGAGACTTTATCCTCAGATTTTATTTCTGGAATTTCAATACGAGCAGGAGCATTAACTGCTGGTATATGTGATTTAGTCACTCTTTTTGTATCAGTAAAAGCATCTGCCAATTGATTTGCAATTACTTGTAAGTGCACAATCTTTTGCACTTCTGTTTCACATTGCTTTGTTCGAGGATCAAGATACAATAGTGATGGTTCATTCCATGCGATATCATTTACTACTTCTTTTCTTTCTCCCCCTAATTTTGGAAAAATTACCTCATTAAATTAGCAATCAGCAAAACGTGCTGTAAAAACGTCACCTGTCAAAAGTTCAACATATTTAATTATGCTGGGTGATTCGAACCCAACGTATATTCCCAATCTTCTTTGGGGACCCATTTTTGTGCGTTGCGGTGGCGCAATGGGTACATATACTGCACAACCAAAAGCTCTAAGGTATAAAATATTTGGTTCAAATCCAAGTGCCAATTGCAGTGGGGAGTATTTATGATCAGCACTAGGCCGTATTCTTATTAGTGAAGCAGCATGTAATATTGCATGGCCCCAAATAGAAACAGTTAGCTTTATTCTCATAATTAATGGTCTAGCAATAAGTTGCAGTCTTTTAATCAATGATTCTTCTAAACCATTTTGTGTATGTATATGAGCAACAGGATGCTCAACAATGATTCTAGTAGACATACAATAATCATTGAATGATTGAGACGTAAATTCACCAGCATTATCAAGTCTAACCCTTTTTATTGTATAGTCAGGAAATTGAACTCGTAGTTTTATGATTTGAGCTAAAAATCTTGCAAATGCAACATTCCGGGTTGAGACCATTTGTTGGATGCGTCTATTAGAACCATAAAATATCTGAATGGTCCACTTGGTGGATGTATTGGTCCACATATATCACCTTGAATTCTCTCAAGAAACATAAGTGATTCATTTTGGATTTTTAGCGGTGAAGGCCTCAATATCAATTTTCCAAGAGAACAAGTTGTACATGACAATTCATTAGTTTGAGGTATTCTTTGTTCTTGCAATGGATGTTCATGTGTATTTTCAACTATCCTTCGCATCATTATTGAACTTGGATGGCCTAGCCTTTCATGCCATAAATTTATCATCGAAGGATTTTGATTTCATTGTCATGTTTGATTCAATGTACGTATAATGCAAACCATTAGAGAGCGGTAACCTTTCAAGTGTTTGAATCTTTTGAGACTCATATCTAATGATTTTTAAATATTTTACACCATCTATTGTCATAGATTGTGTATCATACCCATTTCGGTATATATATCAAAACTCAATAAATTTCTTCTGGAATTTGGTGAGAACAAAGCTTCATCAATCACAAATTTTGTTCCCTGAGGCAATCTAATTCTGGCTTTGCCAATTCCTTCAATCAAGTCTGCAGGAGCTGATATTGTATACACAATTGCCTTTGTTGGTTTAAATTCAGTGAAAAACTTTCTATTTTTCAAGATAGTATGTGTAGTGTCATTGTCAGGTATACAAAAATCACCAAAGCCGCTTTTAAGTTGAGTTCCACTATGATCCATTTCAAGACTTCAAAAACAAAAAAAATAAATAATCAACACGTATCATGAGGAAAAACATCAAACATGAATATTTTACATAAATTCATTACAATCGAATACGATAATACAACTTCAAACATATATTACATACATTTATTTTCATCAACAAAAAATACAACAACTCAATAACATATATCCACTTATGTCTCAATTATCAGCATAATCATCAGTGAAATCAGAAGCATTCAAATGTGTTTCCCATTCTCATTATCACAAAGCTCATTGAGATTAACTTCCTCTCCTTTACCCTTTGATGCGGCATAAAGATCACAAAGGTGTTTTGGAGTTCTACAGACCTTTGCATAATGACCTTCAGTACCATACCTGTAACATGCATCTTCAGCATTCTTTTGAGATTTTTCTGGAGCATCATTCTTGGTCATTTTATTTTTCTTTTGAGGGTGAGCTATTTGTTCATATGGGGTATTACCATGATTATGGCCAGAAAATTGTTTTCGTCCATGGTCATTATAGCCACCACAGCCGCCATAGCCTCCACGACCGCCACGGCCACCATGGCCGCCACGGTTGTGATCACCACGACCCCGACCCCGACCACGACCTCGGCCTCGGTCACGTCCACGACTATTAAAATTTCCATAGTATCATGGAATTAAGGCATTTGCTTTAGGATATGCCATAGAGCCAGTAGGTCGTGATTGATGATTCTTTATCAAAAGTCTGTTGGCATTTTCTTCTTGCAAAAGTGCTGTTGACAAATTGGAATAATGCTCATACTTCATTAATCTATGAGCATTTGAAAGAATAATACCATATGGATGAAATGTTGATATAGTTTTATCTATCATTTCCTTTTCAGTCATAGGATGTCCACAAAATTTTAATTGTGAAACAATCCTGAACAATGCTGAATTATATTCATCCACACTTTTAAAATCTTGAAATCGTAATGATTTCCATTCATCAATAGCATTTGGTAATATAACAGCTCTTTTATTATCAAATCTGGAAGTAATACCTTTCCAGACAACACTTGGATCTTCTTGATCAATGTATTCATTTTGCAAACAATCATCAAAATATTTGCGAAGTAATATCAACACGGTTGCCTTATCCTTTTCTGTGGTAGTATTTTCCGGTTTTATAGTATCAGTGAAACCCATTGATCATAGATGTGTGATAGCATTTGTTTTCCAACACATATAATTTTGTCTAGTGTGTTTGAGAGCTTCAAACTCGAGCTTTGATAAATTTGACATCTTTGATAACTAGGATAAAGAAAAAAATCGCAGTTACATTTAATAATGAATAAATCCTACAATAAATAATGCTAACAATTTATTCAGTAAATATAGCAATGAAGTACAATGGTAAAATACATATTATAAAAACTCCTAAATGAAAAATGAAATCCTCAAATTCTTCTAGAAAAAATATCATAACAATATATATACTAACTATTATCATGCTAAAGAGAGAAAGGAAAGACATTTTTTCTTAGAAAATAAGAAGAGAAAGAAGGAGAATATTGTGAAGGTGTGTAAATGAGGTTTAGAAATAATGTATTTATAGAAAAAAATTTAAAATTTCGGCCGTTATATAGCCGTTAATATATATGTTAAAAAAGTTGTTATATACGTATTTTTATACGTAAAAGTATATTATATTTATTCATATATAATTGTGAAAATTTAAATAAATCAAGATAAAACAACTAAGTAATAATTGAATGAGGATATATATTTTTATCGTACACTCAATTAAATTGAAAATAAATAATTTTTTAGAGACAAATAATTATAGTAGGGATTTATCAATCATCTCATCATAGATTAGATCTAGTATATAGGGACATAGAAAAACATTCATGATAGATTAGATATATTATATAGGGACATAGAAAAACATCCCACCGTGAAAATCTAAATAAAGATATGAAAATAAATGCATTAGGGATATATGAAGTCATCCCACAAGAATGTAAGTTATATAAATATTTACGTAGAGATATATTAAAGCATCCCACTACAAAATAAAACTCAAGACTTGAGCAAGGACAAGTCTTTAAATAAATTGCAAGAAATTAAATGACTTGAATATAAATTAGGAGGTGTTATAGAACCATCCATATGAAATGCAAATACTGGGTAAGAAATTTTATACCTTTGTGGATTGCAGAGACGTCGTGCTGATAACGTGTTATAAAACTAAGTTCTAAATATAATGATCTAACGCAAAGGTAACTAAAATTTAATTAGTCATGATAGTTATTTAACTTCTATACTAGAGACTTTATTATTATAATTTTCTACTACTTGAAATATTATGATATATCTTATGAGATTTAAGAAGAAGGGGAGAAATTCCCTTTATAAATCATAGACATAAAAAAAAAAAAAAAAGAGAGGAATGAGTAAGTTCTTCGGTGCATTTTTCACTTTGGAAAGTCACACACACACACACATATATATATATATATATATAAATATTTTGACAGACATTTGGCCTCAATTTTCCTCCTTCACATTTAATGTAACTATTGTAGTGGGTAAATATTTTTTACTTTTTGTACTTGTAGTATTTAATTTTTTTGGAAAGGATACTAGTATTCATTTGTTATAAAATGGAGTGTGCATTTCAAAACTCGTGTCCAGCGTAGAGAAATCCCCGCTGCCAGATCAGTGTCTTCTTCAGTCTTCTGTTACGATTTGCAGAAACTGAAGCTTATAAGTCAACGTCCCAATTTCAGTAGTAGCTAAAATTTTCCAGAGCTATGGCTTCTTCAAGCAACATTCCTGTCTTAATAGTCCTACCAATCTTGTGGGCTCTTCTGCCATTCTTCTACCTCTTCAAACTATTGACATTTATTTTAAGGAGGTTTAGAACTGAAAACCTCAGAGGAAAAGTTGTCCTAATCACCGGAGCGTCGTCTGGGATCGGAGAGGTATGTATATGTGTCTCAAAAGTTAATCATATGAATACCCTTTTAACAACTTATTCATCCATCAAACTCCTGGATTTGTGATTATGAATGCAGCACTTAACTTATGAATATGCAAAAAGAGGAGCTTGTTTAGTTATTGTAGCCAGGAGGGAGAATCTCCTTATTAAGGTGGCGGAAAAGGCCCGGCAACTCGGGTCGCCGGATGTTCTCCATATATGTGCTAATGTGCGAAAAGCAGATGATTGCAGAGATTTTGTTGAGAAAGCAGTCAATCATTTTGGCAGATGTAAGTTTTTTTGCATATTCAGGACAGCCCTTTTTTGTAAGCTACAATTCAATAGTCTAATCAGAAATCAGGGTGTCTGCAGTGGATCATGTTGTCAATAATGCTGGAATTGCCTGTATGTGCTTTATTGAAGATACAGCTGACATTACAAAATTTACAGAAATGATGGTAATTCTTTCATGATGATTTCTGTCAATGTGTATAAAAAGTTCATATTTTTGCATCCAAAACAGAGTTTAACATACATAGAAACTGTTTCTTTTTTAGGATGTCAACTTTTGGGGATCAGTGTACCCCACTTACTTTGCGATTCCTCATCTGAAGAAGACCAGGGGATCGGTTTTTGTTAATGCATCTGCTGGTGGTATTCTAAATCCACCAGGAATGAGTATCTATTCTGTAAGAAAGTAGCAAATATGCATTTTTTGTTTATTTACCTTATAGGAAAAAATGGTTGTGAAAATTTAGGCATTCTTCCTTAGGCAAGCAAAGCAGCTCTATTGAGCTTCTGTGACACTATGAGTGTGGAACTGGCGCCGGAAATCTCAGTCACAGTTGCCACTCTGGGCGTGATAGATTCAGAAATTACCCAAGGAGGGAAGCAGCTAACCATGGAAGGGACTATGGATGTTAAATCATATTTTGCAATTGTAAGTTATCTGAATTTTGGAAACTGTGAGTTTCTAAATTTGTGGTCATCATCAGTACTTATCTATTGAATCCTTTGTTTGTTTGCAGTGTGGTGCTGATAAAATGCCGTCTATGGGAGCCAGTGATTGTGCTGAAGCAATCGTGGATGCGATTTGCCAGAAGGAAAGATGCGTAACAGAGCCAAAATGGTACATGATTCTCCTCCTATTGAAAACCTTGTTCCCTGACCTGATTGAATGGACAAGCCGCAGAACCTGTCTTATGTTAAAAACCAATGTAGCCAAAACCGCTCTCCTGACCCCACCATCACAAGATAAAATAGAATGAGATTTTCAGCAGGATGAATGAACAAATTATGCTTCCAGGTTCCAATAGTGTACTTTTTGAAATATATGATACTTCCTTGTTCCCTGAATAAGAGTCTTGTTTGCTGGATATTCTGGGGTAGAGGGAGTACTTCATCTTTTCTGTAGTTTGAATTTTCCATGACAATGAGTAGCGCAAGATGCAAGTTACATCATGCCAATACAAAGGTGCTTTTCTCTGATTTACAGCTTCCAGCATCCACATTGAGGTTTATACATGGTTTGAAACTTGAATCTTTATTTTGTGATCCTTTCTATATCTGAAAGAAATAGTATTGTGATGCAATATTCAGCAGCATATCTGCTTATTCTATGAGCAAACTGTACAACTGAGAATATGAGCCACCAATGCTATGCAGATTTGTAAGTTTGATCTGTGATCATTAATTAGTTAGGATGAGAGAGTTTGAACTATGCAAATCTGTTTTATTGCAAGAGCAAACTCTCTCACCCTGGATATTGCATGTTCATGAGGAAGTCTTGGCGATGATGGAGGGATTATCCAAGATTGCAAAGCATTGCTGAGTAGGAATTGGTTTTGTGTAAATACAGGCATTGTCTCTTGTATTGTATTCAAAAGAAAAGCGTAGTGTTCTTTCTTGTCATCTTTTATCTCATTCATGTGCTTGGAACCTGAGGGTTCCATCCTTAGATCTGTACTTTAAGTTTTGTTTCCTCCATTGTACCAAAAACAATTATAATTGTAGTTTTAAGTAATTGCAATCTTCATTAGAAATCAATCCTGATATTAAACCTCTGTTTATGAGTTAGAATTAATAATCCGCTAGGCATTGCCCCTGTAATTTATTCTACGTTCTTCGCTGCTCATCAAAGCTTCCAACTATGGCAGACTGGTTCTCGGCACAAAGTTGAGTAGCAAAAAGATTATAAGAATCAATGGGATTCACATCTTTCAGTACTTTAACCGGTTTTCCTTGTTTCTTACCAATTTTCATTTGCCCGTCTTCAGCTTCAATGCCTTGCGCCGAGATCACGATATTCTTCATTTCCAATGATGGCTCCGGAACTGAATGATCTCCACCTAGGAATGCAGCACCCAGAATTTCTCCAAGAAATATATCCTGAGACAAGCATAACACTTTTTTTATATAACAAAAGGTTAAATGAAAATCAAACTCTACGAATATCAAACTTGCAGAGTGTATAAATTTGTCAATATTAGATATGATTAGTTCTTGTAGATTATTGTAATCAATAACTCATGATAGTATTTCAGGTAGAAACGAAATAGCCGCGAGCTCTCAGTTGTAGATCATGCAAAGAAAATTGACATTTACCACGTGTTTGTATACGGGATGCGCCTGTTTCAACCGATGCAAGCTTGATATCAAGTTCTGGGCAAATAAGGCCTCAGGAGTCTTCTTGGTAAGATTGAAAAGTTCCAGCAATTTGGATAAAGTAACTGACTTTGCGCTGAATGCTTACTGGAATGAGTGTGATATTAAGCTCTGATTCCAAAGCTGCTTTTGCTGCCAATGGATCTAGAAACATGTTCATTTCAGCTTATTTATTGGAAGCAACATTGATGACATTTCCCTCTTCAGTGCTTTCATAATCAGTGTGTCCCCCAACAATGATTATGTCCTGCATCAGAGTCTCTTTAAGTTTATCTGGATCAAGAAGTAACCTGGTCAGCAGATAAAGTTCGAAAGAGCGAATCACCTCAATTGCAGAGGTCATATTTTTGCCCGAAGCAACAATTTGTGCTAGGGTAGTTAAGGGTCCATTTGTCAAAATGGTAACCTTGGATCCTGGTTCGAGAGAATTCACTACTGATTGCCAGACTTCAATGGCAAGGGGTTGTCTGAGTTCAGGGTGATCAGTATCTTGAGGAGCTCCAAATTTGACAGAATTTTCTCCAGTATACGTGCAGTAAACATAGCCTGACATCTCAAAATTCTCTCTTTACGGAATAGAACTAATAAAAAGTATGCAAACTGATGGAACATGCCTTCTTGGACTTCATGGAAGATCACGAGCTAAGCCATAAAGGGTATCTGAGTCTAGAAATTCACCACTACCATGAGGAACAGCCTTTCTTTACTTGCAGTCTCCCACAGCAGGAAACAGTGAATCAGATTGATTGTTTGCAAACACATTTCCTAGGCCGACGGGAATATAATCACGGCCCATCATGTGAAGTAAATCATATACAACATCTATGGTTGCGCCATTTGCCCATCCAGTTGGAGAAATCAATATTGCCTACAGTAATCAGAAGATGCATGCATCTAAACTTCAAGTTTTCTAAATCCTGAATTTGTTTGGACCTCAATTCCTTGAGGAACCAAAACATGATGTATAATAAGAATGGAGCTGTGAGAAGTAGAAGTGAACTTTTCGTACCTTGAGATTCATAGTTTCAACAGGCATTTTAAGAAGATAAAATAGTGCAAGAAAGTCTCCAGGACTCATGTCCATGTCAAATACAACATTCTTTCTAAGTTTCCTTTCGGTGAAATCAGGCTTGTATAGCTTTTCCTCGTAGTGAGGAAATTGCGTGGTGATGTTGAACAGCCCGGAATGTTGGGGATGATTCAGAACCTGCAGACAGCAAAGACATTGCAGTGCTAGTATCAATGTACTCCTCCTAGACAAAATGTATACATATTTAGAAAGCTAAATATTACTATGGATTTTTTTTTTTTTCCTGTTTATACTATAATGACAGAAATATTACAATGCAGAATTCATCCATTGACTTAGTCTCTGGGCTAATTAATGAGCAAAACGTGTGTGTATACAAGTGAAGTTTGTTAACGTCAACTTTCTTATCACGTTAAGCTAGTTGATGAGCAAAAGCAAACTGGTTGGATCCACATACATCTAGAAAGCTTTTGTAGAATTCTCTGTCAAGGGAACTTCGTTGATCGCTATTCGGCTTTGCCTTCACAGCAACAAGCACTTGCACACCTTCGTTCCCAGCAACTTCTTTAGTATAACCATCCTGCTTCATATGAAATGTCATACTCATTAGGTAAATGAGAGCAGTTAACATTCCGTAGGGTACAAAAGGTCAAGATAAGCTTGTTGATAAAAATCAATACTTCTATGCCAGAAAGTCAATTCTGGAAGAGAACAAGTACATACTTGGCATCTTCCTTTAGCATTTTTCACACTGCAAAAAGGATCACGAAGTCCATTCTGGACATGGCCACTGTGAATCCCATTTCTCATTAATTTGAACTTGGGAGTTTCATGCCAATCAAAAAATGGATTTGAGCCATCAGATATTCCATATGGCTCATTTGAAGTAACAACAGTGATGTTAATGAACTCCATCACAGCAAATTCATTCACCCCTGGCTTAGTATGTCGTATGCGCATAATGGAAGTTGCTACACCAGCTAAAATTGAGTCCCACATAAAATAACTCTGCAAGGAGTATATGAGGATGTTACTATAGACAGTATATGTCAATGGGTTTTGAATTAGGAGAATGAACATATTAATGCACTTCCAAGACCTTACAGTATAGAATTTATCGTGAACCAGGTGTCACGGGATATTTTTAAGGACTTGAAGCAGTATTGTGCTTCATAAGTATATTGATTCTTCTCGAAAGTAGCAAAGAATTCTTCGGTTACAGGGATGGTGTTTGCGGCATCCAATGGAACTAGAGTTACTGGGATTCCTGAGTGAATTACCTGCATTGCAGGTTAAAGAAAACGTATAATTCATTCTTCATATAGAATAGGACAAATCAACCTGGTTAGCTTAGCAGTAAACTTATCTTATGGTGCAAATTATGTACCTGATATGCTGCAAAAGGATCTCCAAATATGTTGATTTCTGCATACGGATTACTAGTGTAGCCTGTGAACATATTGCCACGATCGCCACACTGCCGTGGTTGACAAGATGCACCGACATTCTTTGGACAGCAACCAGTTGGAGTCTTTGATCTCACAGCACCCCCCATGATGTAAATGTGCTTAATATTTCTCTTCAGTTGGGGATTTTTCATCAAAAATACACCAAAAATCCGTGTGTGTTCCAATTATAAAAACTGAGGTTGGACCAGCAGAAATTGTGTCAATCACCACTAGCTAAGCAGTGGGCTGCTGGAGAGGTAAGTATCTCCTTTTACCCTGGATTCGAAATGAAAAAAGGTTCAAAATGGGAAAAGGTTAGCCAGTGTTTAAGCCAATGGTACAAAGATATAATACTGCAATATGCTTAGATACATTGTTAGAGAAACTTCAGGTGGGCTTTAAAGCTATTCTGTCATCAATATATTCAGTTCAGAAATCCATACCTGTGGTAGAAAACCTTTGCGAAAACCGTAGTTTGTTCCAATATCTAATATACCCCCAAGACCAACCGGAATGGCTTGTCTGTATCTACAATATCCAGCTGTACTGTTCCCCTAATTAAGCACAAGGAAATAGTTCAACCAGACATTAAAATTGAAGAGAATTCTGTTTTCATTTGGTAACATTGTACCTGAGTAGTAGTACGGTACTATTTCAACTCAAACATACCAGTTGAAACGAAGCAGAATAGTTCTTTACCTGTTCAATTAAGGGGAGATATCCTCCAACATTAGGAAGAACAGTTCCATCTTCAAGAATCCCTCCTTCACCTCCCACTCCAACCGCCGATCCATCATGTAAAGAATGTCATAAATTTGATTGATGGCATGTCCTGCATTAGTCCACGCATCAGAGCTTATGGTAACCGCCTGCATTTGATGCAGATAATAATCCTTATTGCCTTCTCTACCTCTGGAGAAAAGTTAATAGAGGCAAAATTGCAAGAACACATGAGCATCAATATGAACTTTTGTAAAGAAATAAAAGATTTTCTTGACATTCTCTCTCCCTAAGATTAACAGTATTGTTTTCGGTTGGTCCTCTAGTTGTTTCTATAAGAGATTGTCAAATTCACTTATAAAAGCTGTTGTCCAAAATCTGTAAAATGAAGCAAGTCAATGATTTTACTTTTACTTAACTAATCCTAAATCCATACAAAAAGAGTCAACAAGACACTGAATAACTGATGCAACTTAGATGAATGACAACTGATCCACAAACAAGAAACACACATATCATCCACAATTATAACTACTGAAGTTGAAATTGCAAGAGATAAATGAATGACCTACAAATCAAATTCTGATATGTTGAGCTTCAGAAGATATAAGAGAGCAAACAAATCATCGGTACCAACATCCGTATCCAAGAGAATCCGATGTGGCTGACCCTCTACAGTGTAAAATGCTCCTGCTGCTGCTATAAACCCAGTGATCACTAAAATTGTCACAAGAGTTCTACAACTTTGGAACATCATTTTCCGCCCCCCAGACTCTTCTCCAGGTAACAGCTCAATTCTATTAATACTAAATAACCCCATCCCTGCACTTTACAAAAGGAGAAGAGAAAAAAGCCCCCCACCCACCAGACAAGTGCCAAACTTCTTCACAAATCACTGACCCTTTCCAAAAAAAACATTCTTCACTGAAAATCACCAACGACGACCACTAACCAAAATTTGAAATTCCCATCCAATCAATATTTAAGGAAGCTAACGAAACAACCCTAGCATGATAAAGCACCAAGACGACATAACAAAGGGATCATTGGGCCTGACCTATAATGAAAAATATTGGACTTAAATTGGTAGGGGCCGCGCGAACGCTGGCCCCCGCTGTCACAAATTATGACGTAGGCTCCACCCCTTAGGGTAGACCTTAGGCGGGCACCCCTCCGAAGTGCGATGGAGGTCACCAACCTAGGCCATGGGCCTTCTTGATCACCCATTGACCCCGTCCAGGTAAGTATGTAGCAAAGCGTCCCTCCTTCCCTTTATATACTCCATCACTTCCCCAATTTCTGCTCGCTCCTCCGATGTGGGAAAAAGATCCACCGCCACTCACTAACGCCTTTAACAAATATTTTTTTCTTTCCTTTTCTTTTTGGTGAACTAACATATTCTTCTTTCATTACACGAAGCTGATGCGGGCTTTTTTAAAAAAAAAAATATATATAGAAAATCTTAATCAATTTTCACTGGTGCAAAACAGTACAGAGCATATGAACTCTAACACTAACAATCCTAATTCCATTTAAATGATTCTTCAGCAGCCAAATCTTGATACAATCTCAACCTTTGCCACACCATCTTTTGAAGGTGAATATGATTTACTTATTATCATGGAACCAGCTACAGCTTTCTAATTATTAACAAAATTCTATGAATCATCGTCAGAATCCAGATTAAGCTACTATTTAGTTAATGTTACTGATCTGTTTTCTTTTATTGGAAGATCTAATAGTGAACTTTTCTTCGTAATCCTAAAAATCATGGCCAGAAAGACCAAAAGTCTATGGACAATTGTGTTGCTCTTTGAACAAATAACAGTAGCATCATTAGTCAGAGGGATTGATCCTTCTGGAGGGACATACAATCTCATCTTCATTTGGTTCCAAGAAGGTTGTTGCTGACCTCGGGCCAACCTCACCAATCTGGTGGATTCTAGTAAGGCCATAACAAGCAGAAAAACTAATTTCGGCCCAATGGAAAATGACATCAACACAACATTGTTTAGAGCAATTTAAGATTTTGAAATGCCAATCCCAGATAGCTGCTCGTTTCATTTAAATCATCACCGAAGAAAAGCTGATTTTTGAAATTCTTCCCTTTTTAACGTAAGAAGAAGCCGAACCGTAGTGTAATTAAAGGCTATTTGTTATAGTGTGAAGATAAGGCATTGAAAAAACAACCGGTTCATGTGAACAGGGCAAAGACTTCTCATATATATTGTACATATTATTGATGACATTAAGAGAAGTTGTGTAGAATTTAGTAAAGTGGAGGTATGTTTATGTAAATAGGAAGGGCAATAATGTTGCTCATGTAGCTGTTACTGAGGCTCTAGATATTACCATTAGGTGTTTATGGTATGATCATTTTCCTGTAGGTGTACTAAATGTGGTCCTGCAAGAAATAATCTAATAAAATGCTTTGTTTATTAAAAAAAAAAAAAAACCGGTTCATGTGAGATAATCCTAATTTGGAATTGGATAAGGTAGGCTGACGTGTTACTAAATTTTTCTGAATAGTTATTGGACTTATTGGGCTTCTTCTTGAAGCCCATTGTTATTATTATTTTCTGTTTAGTGAAGCTTGGCATTGTAGCAAACATAAGAATTTTTTGGTAGAAGCCCAAGTGAATCCCATATCAGTTACAACCCTGAATCCTTCAGACTCACATAATCTCCTAAACGATACAAGCTTGAACTTGAGAATTGTTGGGTTCCACCCAAGAGGGTGGAATCCCTTCAAAAATTGGCGTATGCCACTATTTGCAGCGAGTACACGGTATTCTTTAGTAAAAGGCGAAAGAATAGTTCGCTATGTACTCACTGCGTGGCTGCGTGACTAACTGGAGCGGTGTGAAGTAGTATATATATTCTGATTGACGGGCGTGAAGCTTACACAAAGTCGATGTGGGACAAAATCCTTTCTTGTTTTTCCTTCCTGACTGCTACGGACAAACTGCGGGAAGAGAACCACTTTTGTAAATAGCAAAAGCAACCAGTGAGTAGAACCTCAACATAGAATCAAGAATTGTGCTTTTTATTCTGTCCTTAAAACTGGTTGAAGACTGTGTTTTCGTCTTCCAGTTTTGAACATCTCGAGAAAGAGGAACTGCTCAATGAATGTACCAACTAACTAATTAGCAAGAGGGCCATTTTTCCTCTGACGTAGAACAACCAACTTCACATCAATTTATTAAAAAAATCTTCAGAATCTCCCAAAATATTTAATTCATACAGGTTTCCAGAATTTTGACATTGTCCATTGCATTTAATTATCAGATAAAATCCAGTAGTAACAGGACCGGTGTTTGACATTTCTTACCCGGCGAAAGCCTTTCATCTTCCTAGCATTCGTCGAAGTTACAATGAGTCGATAAGAATCCGTTTTACTCTTAACCGAATGCTCCAGCCAGTTGATTTTTTTTATTTTTATTTTTTTTACTTTCACTGATGAAAGAACTCGCATAAATGCCTCATTTACGACACAACTACGATGACTTCATAATGCATTGAGTACTCCAATAAAATGCGAAATTGATGATATATTTTGCAGCTCGTGATTCTTTTAAATGTTCTTGCTTCTTTAAGCAGTTCAGATGAGGTGTGGCAGAGCAATTTACACTGGTTTGATACAATCAATTGGCGAGTCTTTTATCCCTTTTTCTTATTTTTTTTTGAAACGGTACTTGTATCCCTCTTTCTTAGTTAGTATTCCAATCCATTTTAAAAGTTTACTAAACCAATGGAATACTATCATCTAAATCTTTTATAAATCTTGCACATTCTGTTACATCTTCTAATAATGTCTATTGTAGGTTCACTTCAATGTTCAATCCACGGTATGGGCGTAATAGATAAGGTGATAAATGTCCCACATAAATCATTTCCAACTAAATGACAAATACTTTTTTTTATTAAAACCTTTCATGACTACTTTGTTCATCCACAGTTTCTTTAAGGGAGTTCCCTTTTATGACTCCATTGTCCACTATTTGATTATGATAATCAATCTATAAGGTACAAACGTTGCCCTTGCAGCTGTTGTTATGGCTTCCTCAAGCAACATTCCTCTCTTCATCGCCCTACCGATCTTGTTGACTCTCCTACCATTTTTCTGCATCTTCCGGCTCGTAAATTTTGTTTCAAGGAGGTTTAGACATGAAAACCTCAGAGGAAAAGTAGTTCTGATCACCGGCGCTTCATCTGGAATTGGAGAGGTATAAACATATTTTCCTTTCTTATAGTCCACATCTGCCCTTTTCATCCATGACTCCTGAATAGGCTGAATGTGAATGTGGGTGAATGTAAATGTGAATGCAGCATTTAACTTATGAGTATGCAAAAAGAGGAGCTTGTCTAGTGATCATAGCCAGGAGGGAAAATCTCCTCATTAAGGTGGCAGAAAAGGCACGACTACTCGGGTCGCCTGACGTTCTCCATATATGTGCAGATGTGCAGAAAGCCAATGAATGCAGGGCATTCGTTGAGGAAGCAGTCAACCATTTTGGTAGATGTAAGTTTTCTTCTTCATAAATTCTGCATCTATTAGTACTTTCTGAAAGCCACAGAGATCTAATCACCATGGTGTCTGCAGTGGATCATGTTGTCAATAATGCAGGAATTGCTTGTATGTGCTTCATTGAAGATGCAGCTGACATTACAAAATTTCCACAAGTAATGGTAATGTTTGATTTCTGTCAATACGGAAAAAAGTCATATATACATCCAAACCAAGCATGACAACCTCAAAATTGTTCAGGATGTGAACTTTTGGGGATCAGTTTACCCAACTTACTTCGTGATTCCTCATCTGAAGAGGACAAAAGGATCCATTTTTGTGAATGCATCAGTGACTGCTACTCTAAATCCACCAGGACTGAGCATCTACTCTGTAAGAAAGTTGCATTTACACAGTATCGTGTACCTTGTAGAATTTTCCATCACCCGAATAAATGATTGCGACCTTCTGCATACTTCCTTCAGGCGAGCAAAGCAGCTCTTCTGAGCTTCTATGACACGATGACTGTTGAGCTGGCGCCGGAAATCTCAATTACAGTTGCCAGTCTGGGTCTGATAGAGTCAGAAATTAGCATAGGAGGGAAGCAGTTAACCCTGGAAGGAACTATGGACGTAAAATCATATTTTGCAAATGTAGGATACCTAAATTTTGGGAAATGTAAATATCTGGAAATGCAATCTTAATGAGTACTCACAGAATATATCCATGCTTTGTTTGTAGTGGGGTGCTGATCATTTTCCACCAATGGAAGCCAGTGCTTGTGCCAAAGCGATTGTGAATGCAGTGTGCCGAAAAGAAAGATATGTTACAGAGCCAAAATGGTACAGGATTCTCTTGGTATTGAAAACCTTGTACCCTGAGCTGACTGAATGGACTTGCCAAAAGAACTACCAGAGGATGAAAACCAATGTACCAAAAACTACTCCCTTCCCACCCTCCCAAAATAAAAAAGAATGAAACTTCACAGCAGAAAATGAAGCAACAGTTCTTCCAAAGGTTGGCTGTGAATTCTGTTAGTTCAATTTGTTTGCATCTTGCAGTTTTCAAAACATCCAACCACCAGGACAACTGAAAATTTACTACATACAATGTGCACTACTTGCCGGTGCCAAACATAAAGGAATAACACTTAAAGTCTTTCTCTGCATTTTTACAGTTTCTTATTTACAGCATCTGAAATCTACATTGTCAGTTTCCGTGGCTTGAATCTTTACTCTTTTCATCTTTTCTGTGTGTGCGTGTTTTGGGGTGGAAGGGGGAAGGGTGATGGTTGTTTGATCTTTACTTTGATCTCTTTCTTAACTGAAAATAAATGCTAGTATAGTTTTCAGCAGCAAATCTGCTTCCTTTATATTCTGATGATATAAACTCAAGAGCTTACAATGCCGCTAAAACCAAATTGTTACTACTTACTAGTGCAAAGTTGAGTTCACTTCATCATAGACCATCAGCCAGCATTTGGGGCTTTGCTCTTTAATTCATCCTCTTCTCTCATCCATGTAAATGTAGGCCTAGTCATATGGAGCTGAGGACCTTGAACCTCAGTTAATGAACAATAGCTGACACTAGTTATAAGCACATCTTTGATAGATATTTGAACGATCAAAGGAGTACTTCCAGACTAGAATGAACTCATACCAAAAAGCCCAGAACTTCGAAAATTTAAATTGCATGTTTAAACCTCATATAGTAGCATGTAAATGGCAAACTCCACCACTGGGGATGACTTCAACTTTTGAGGCAGTCTATCAGAGATCCACCAAGATGTAGCATCTTTATGAAGGGAATCCCATTCCGACATTAATAGAACAAACATTCTTTGTTGTACCCGTGGAATATGTCATAAAAAGCCACACTAAGACGAGAAAAGAAGTTTGGTTATGGAAATTGGAAACACCAACTCTAACCTAACTAGGATCAAACTAAATTTAAGATTCGGTCCTGCAGGAGCATAACTCTTGGATGATCAGTAATCCAAGTATAAGCTTCAGGTCAAAAATCCAATCAAACTAAATATGCTCATCTTAAATTTGAACCATATTGTGCCGTGCAGTAACCTTTTCCTTTAAAATCCAACCACACATAAACGAACCAGGACCGCAAGGAGAGTAACAAATTTACATCATCAGTGTTTTAAGTCCTTAGTTCCGATTCTCCCACATGCATGGCATAACATATCACAAAGGGAATTGGATTTGAGCCAAAAAAAATGGAGAAGTAACAGCACAAGTTTACAATCGATAAAGGATTTTCATTAAAAGACTTCCAATCACAGAATCATAAACTACTATAATAGCCCAATAAACAAATCTAAAGGCTCAGATAATCATAAGTTAGATCGGGCTAGAGAATGTGATACCCGACATGGCTGCAAACACCGGTTGCATGTAGAAGATTGCCATCCGGGTTGCCCCGCCAAGTTTCAAGGTGTACTTTTACCTCAATGCCTGACCTGATCCACATGCTCCGAGACAATGAAAATCATCATCACAGCCTTAAAACACTGATAACAGATTCATTAAGGAATCATAATCAAACCATTCTAGATTTTAAACCAAACAGCATTACTGGGATCATGAATCCATCAGTATTCGAATCCAATCCGTCAGCATTCAAATCCGTTTCCAGATGACAAAACAAACGGCTCCGATTACACAGCCAAAAAGCCCAACAGATAGATAGATATATAGACAGAGAACAGATCAGCACATTGAATAGTAACCAGACCACAGTTCATGAAACAAACAGGGGAAACCCATTTGTGAATCGTTTTCAATTCTAATTCCTGCACGAACCAAACAGAAGCTCAAGATTGATTGAGGACCAATATATATGTACTGTATGTAGTTTCCCAGGAAAACAGATGAAAAGGCTGTTGGTAAAAAAAGTGTATGAAGAAAGAGAAATCAAGGGCGAGAGAAAAAACAGAGAGATGGGCAACAACCCTTTACAGAATTCCCATGTCTCTCTCTGTCGCCTCATTCTCAGTCTCGGAGCAATCTTTCTTTGTGTGCATTTTAACTATGGCTCCCTTTTTATTTTATACTGGCGTGGTTGCTGAACTAGTAAGCTCTAAATATAATCTTTAATCATTCTACGTACTGTACTTTTTTCGTATTGTATGTTCGTTATATTGAGAATTCAGCACTTCCGCTTGAAAATTATCAACAACGTGAGCTTAAATATAAGGTTAAATTTGTGTAAATCTACAATTTTTCTCAGTTAAGAGTTCATTTTTCTTTTAAAACTCCTTTAGTCTTATAATTAGCGTAAGTTTAGGATTTCTTTTGGCACCAATTCATTTTAAAGTGCTTTTTTTTCCCCTGACCAAACACATTCAGTTGTAAGCAAGGGCCGAATCTTAAAATCTTACGATCCAGAGATTCAAAATCAAGAAATTGATCCTGAATTTTATAAAATCCTTCTTTGCAGTGGGATCTTATGAAATCCTTCAAAATCCCAATCCGGATCCTAGAATCTTACGATCCAGCAATCCCATTGATTTTGTCGATACTTGTACAAATTGTTGATTTCGTATAATCGATATTTGTATAAATTGTTGATTTCGTATAAAAAGAAGGAAAAATGATTAGAAAATATATAAAAGTTTTTTTAGTTTACTTATGCAAGCACTAGTCTACTTCTTCTCCATAAAATCAAATAAGAATTGAACTAACAAATTGAAACCCGCAATTTCAAAATTATTATGATATTATTATGATATTTCAAATAGTTACGATCCCACCGATCCAGAATCCGATCCGATCCTAAGACAGAAAAACGATCATGTGTGAAATCCCGATTGTGAAAACATTGGTGGTAAGAAGTTGTAACGCTGTTTCTAAAGTTTTTTTTCGGTCGTTGACATAGTAACTACTTGTAAAAATGTGTAGTGCACACAACCCAGATGTCAAGACTGCAGTTTTATTTGTGTCTTGTAATTACAATTGATCTTGAAATTAAGCTCTCAAATTGTGCCGTTCATAAATAAGAAACAAAAAAGAAAAAAAAGAAAAGTTCTATAAAACAACAGTGACTACATCTGGGGCTGGAGAGACACCTAGAACAAATTCCTCACTGTTGAATGTTACTCGAGTCATATGCATCATTTTAAACTCATTTTTTGCATCCATCATATTTGTTATGGTGAATGTGAAAGCGAATTTAACTTATGAACGTGCAAGCAGAGGTGCTTATTTAGCCGGAGGGAGAATCTTTTCTTAAAGGGGGCAATAAAGGAGCGGCAACTCAAACTGCAAGATGAGAAGATGTGCAGAAAGCCGGTGTTTGCAGGGTGTTTGTTGAGGAGCAGTTAACCATTCTGGCAGATTTAAGTTCCTTTCATTGGTTCTGCATTTTCAAACCAGAAATGTTGCTGCTTTTTGTAAGCTACAGACAGTGTAATGAAATTGTTTCTCAAGTGGATCATGTTACCGCAGGAACTACTTGTATACGCAAATGCTGCTGACATAGCCACATTTACAACAGTTGATGGTAATCTTTTGTGATTTCTGAAAATACCGAAGGTGGTCATATTCACTTCCAAACAGAGTTTGACATACTTCAAATTGTTGAGGATGTGAACTTTGGGTGATCAGTTCCCACTTAGTTTGCGATTCCTCATCTTAAGAAGACAACGGATCCATTTTCGTGACTGCTTTAGTTACTGCTAATATAAATCCTTTAGAACAGAGCATCATGTAAGAAAGTTACACATGCATACTTTGTTTACCTTGTATTGTATCCTATAACCAGAGTAAATGGTTGTCATTCATCAATTGGCCTTTCCTTCAGGTGAGCAAAGCAGCTCTGTCGAGCTTTATATGAAGCGATGCCAATTGAACCAGCACAAGAAATCTTAAACACAGTTGCCACCCATCTGAGCATCTAAGTCAGAGATTACCCGAGAAGGGAAGCAATTAACTCTGCAAGGAACTGTGGAAGTAAAATCACATCTGGCAAATTTAAGATATCTGAATTTCAGAAACGTCTGGATTTGAAATCAAACTGAGTACTCACGGGATAAATCCGCGGTTGGTTTGTACTGGGCTGCTGATCATAAACCATCAATAAGAGCCAGTGCTTGTGACGAAACAATTGAGACCAGAAAGAAAGATATGTTACGTAGCCAAAATGGTACAAGAAACTCTAGTTATTGAAACCCTTACACCCTGAGCAGATTGAATGGGCTAGCCAAAGCAACTACCAGAGGATGAAAACCAATGCACTGAAAACTACTCCCCTTCCACCATGATTCTGAAGTACAGCACCTGAAATCTACATTTTAAGTTTATGAATAATTTGGATCTTTACTTTGATATCTTGCATATCTGAGAAGTGGTTGTATAATGCTTATTTCAGCAGCAATTCTCCTTCCTGTATATTCCGACAGTGGTGATCCCAAAGATAATTACGCCAAAGACAAAATATTATGACTAGAACAAAGATGAGTGCATCTCAACAAATAGAGAAGCAGCGGGCCAGCATATAGGGATTTGCAGTTTAATTCATCCTTGTCCTCAAGTAGACCTAGTCATAATGGAATAGAGGATGAGGACCTTAAAGCTCAGTTAATGAACCGTGACTGACACTGGCTACAGCTAAAACACACCTTTGATGTACACTCTAAATAAAAATTCAGATACCAATTAGCTACAAGGCTACAACCAAGATATAAGGCATGTCTGAATGATTAAAGGCATCCCTCCAGCTTGACTTTGCTAAACTCAGACCAAACAAAACAACAACAACAACAGCAACATACCCATATTCTCAACTCGGTTGGGGTCTGGGGTGTCAAGATGTACGCAGCCTTACCCCTATATTTCAATACAGAGAGGCTGAGACCAAACCAAACCAAACAGAACTTTGAAAATTTAACTAACATGTCTTAACCTCATATAGAGCTTGTCTTCACTAACATGTCTTTGAAAATTTAACCAACATGTCTTAACCTC